GGGGGAGGGGGGGGGCTGGAGGAGGTGGGAGATGCAGCGTTGAGGTGAGGTGGGGGTCTTTGCAGCCCATATTTGATGCTGTGTGTGGGGTTTTGGGGTTGTCCTGGTGGGCACAGTGACGCCTCAGGATGAGGAGGGGTCTTTGCAGCCTGTATTTGATGCAGTGTGGGGTTTTAGGGTTGTCCTGGTGGGCACAGTGACCCCTCAGGATGGGGAGGGGTCTTTGCAGCCTGAAGATGTGGTATGCAGTCGTGGGGGTGGTCTTTGCAATCTATATTTGATGCAGTGTGGAGTTACTGGGTTGTCCTGGTGAGCACAGTGACTCTACAGGATAAGAAGGGAGATCTTCGCAGCCCGTAGCTGATGGTGTATGTGGGGTGGGGATCTGAGGTGGGGTGGGGGTCTTGCAGCCCATACTTGATGCTGTGTGTGGTTATGGGGTTGTCCTGGTGGGCACAGTGACCCCTCAGGATGGGGAGGGGTCTTTGCAGCCTGAAGATGTGGTATGCAGTCATAGGGGGGGGTCTTTGCAGCCCACAGTCAGTGCTGTGCGAAGTTATGGGGGGGCAGTTGTGGGACATACAGGTGAGATGAGGCAGCCTGGTGGGCATTTAGGGGGAGGGGGATGCCTGGAGGAGGTGGGAGATGCAGCGTTGGGGTTGGTGTCTTTGCAGCCCATATTTGATGCTGCATAGGGGGTGGGGGTCTTTGCAGCCCATATTTGATGCTGTGTGTGGTTATGGGATTGTCCTAGTGGGCACAGTGACTCTGCAGCATAAGAGGGGAGGTCTTCGCAGCCTGTAGCTGATGCTGTTTGTGGGGTTGGGGGTCTGAGGTGGGGTGGGGGTCTTTGCAGCTCATACTTGATGCTGTGTGGGGTTGTAGGGTTGTCTTCGTGGGCACAGAGATCCTTCAGGATGGGGAGGAGTCTTTGCAGCCCGCAGTTAATGCTGTATGTGGTCATGGGGGGCCAGCTGTAGGGCACATGGGTGGGATGAGGCAGCCTGGGGGGCATTTAGGGGAAGGGGGATGGCTGGAGGAGGTGGGAGATGCAGCATTGAGGTGGGGTGGGGGTCTTTGTAGCCCATATTTGATGCAGTGTGGGGTTATGGGGTTGGGCACAGTGACCCTACAGGATGGAGGAATGGGGTACCCCATAGGGGATGTGGTGCTGGGGTGGGGATGGGGTCTGTGAACCCCATAGATCAGAGCCCAAACACTCTGTGTCCCAGGCGGGGGCTCGTTGGGATGGGGATGAACCCATAGGAGATCCCACAGCCCTGCAGTGGTGCTGAGGTGCTTGGTTTTGGGGAGGGGGCTGTGATGTGGGGTTGGGGGGCTTCTTAGGGTACAAAGAGCCCCTCTGGGGGGGGGGCACAGCAAGGCCAAGTCTTGCTGAGGGACACAATGACCTTATGGGGGATTTGGGACCCCCATGGGGGTCGTTGTGTTGGGATGATGACAGCATTGAGCTCCCCAAAAGCAACGGGACCCATATGGGGCATCTCCTTTCCGGGGGGCTGATTGGGATTGGGATGAACCTATAGGAGATCCCACAGCCCTGCAGTGGTGCTGAGGTGCCTGGCAATGGGGGGGGTGGGATGTGGGGTACAAAGAGCCCCTCTGGGGGGGGGGGCACAACAAGGCCAGGTCCTGCTGAGGGACATGGAGGATTTGGGACCCCCGTGGGGGTCGCCGTGTCGGGATGAGGGCAGCGCTGAGCTCCCCACACACAACAGCAGCCGCATGGGGCATCACCACCAGACCCCCCCCCATTTTCTCCCAGCCGCATTTATTTCCTTAACCCCTTTCTTCTCCTCTTGTCCCCCCCACAAACCAACAAACCCCACAGATTTTCGTGGAGTTCACCTCTGTCTTTGACTGCCAGAAGGCCATGCAGGGCCTCACGGGCCGCAAATTCGCCAACAGAGTCGTCGTCACCAAATACTGCGACCCCGATTCCTACCATCGCCGCGACTTCTGGTAGCCCCCTGCTGGGGGGGGCCGGGCCGGGGCTGAAGGGGAGAGAGAGAAGGGGGGGGGGGGGGGGGGGGGGGGGGGGGGGGGGGGGGGGGGGGGGGGGGGGGGGGGGGCCCAACCACAGCCCCCTCCCCTTTTCGTTATTTGGTTGGGTTTTGTTTTTTTTTTTCCTGTCTTTTTGTTTGTTTGGTCCCGATTTTTATTTTTTCTCTCTCGTTTTCACTCGGTTCT